TTCATTTCTTTTCTCTTTATGAAAACTTATACAAATCGTGAGGGTATGATTTACTTGTCATATACTCTAGCTTCATTTAAATCTGCTTGCTTAGTTGAAACGAAAGTTTTATGAGTTGCTTTCTTGAAATTGAGTTTTCTATTGGTTAGTATTAGTATTAGTTGCTTTCTTCAATCAATTCCATTTTAGTGTCTACACACATCCATACATAAATATAGACACACACATACATACCAGAAAATGGGAATTCCAAACCAGAAAATCCGTTGGTTGCTTTCTTGAAAGCTTCTGCTTTGATGGTGGTTCCAAACCAGAAAATGGGTATTCGAATAGGCTTATATGATTCAAATGAGTTTGATGTTGTATCATGTGATGTCACCCATTTAGTTATTTTTGAAATTATTATATCATTATAGCTTCTGTTTTGGAATGTGATGCCATTAAATCACAATCGTTTTTGTTTTGGAATGTGAATGTGATGCCATTATATGATGATAAAAAATCTTCTGTTTTAATCCAGAAAATGGGTTCTACTTTTATAGAGATTTGGTGTTATTCCGTTTCCTTGTTTATAGCCTTTCCGTTATTCTGTTTCCTTGTTTAGCAGATTTCCTAGCCCTTTATATTCTCTTGTTTGCTTTGTTTTTTTATGAATAAAAAAAGCAATAAAACGAATTCTCTTGACACCATCGAATTCTAGATGGTATCAGAGCGGTTCTAAAAACTTCGATTCTTGTTACCCTACACCGCCGCCATCCCTGTTACAATGGCCGGAGGCGAAACACCAAAACCCACCGAAGAAAACGCCATCGATCACAATTCACCTTACTATCTTCATCCGTCGGACTACCCAAAACAACTTCACGTCAACGACGTTCTCACAGACAGCAATTATGCCGATTGGTCGTAGGAGATAACCAACTCTCTCTTTGCCAAAAACAAAATAGAGTTTGTCGATGGAACAATCAAGAAGCCGGAAAAAACGTCCCCGAAGCATATGCCATGGTTGCGATGTGATGCGATGATAAAGGGGTGGCTCACCACCGCCATGGAAAAGAACATCCGAAACAGCGTAAAATATGCAGGCACATCTGCAGAAATATGGGTAGATCTCCTCGAAAGGTTTGGCAAAGAAAGTGCTCCGAGAGCGTATGAACTAAAACAACAAATCGCTACCACTCGACAAGATGGATCTTCGGTATCAACATATTACACCCGCCTGCGTTCTCTTTGGGATGAAGCCCAATCCTTACAACCTTTTC